GGTTTTTTTTTTTTTTTTTTTTTTTGGACGTGCCTCTCTTGCATCCGCAGTGCGGCTGCGAAGTGACATCTGCAGCGTGTACAGGTAAGCAGGCAGACCTGTCTTGGGCTTGTGGAGGGATGCACCTGCTTCACCCACTCGAGCTGAGGTGATGAACGCGCATGCTTTTTAAAGCACGCTGCATATTTTATCGCCTGCGCTACGGTCGAGGAAGCTTTTTCCAAACAAACCCAGTGAATATGAATTATTCTCTCTGTGTTTGCAAATCGGGCAGCTCGTTTTCACGCACTTCTTGCTTTTCGCAAGGCGATTCACCGGGGAAAGTTAGCCGAGAGGCACCCGGCTCACCCGTTCTAAAATGAAATCACTTTGAAGGGGAATTTTTTTTGTCGTCAAGCCATGCTTTCTGTTTTCGGTTCGGTTCAGACGTGCAAGTGTGTGTGTTCAAAGTATGGCCGGAGGGGTTGCCGCATACGAGCCCGGGAGGAATCGGCGTTGTTCTCACGTAGCCGTAATCCAAAACACAACATGGATTTGTTTACTCTTGATGACACGCTGCGAGAATATTGTTGAAAATATGGCACGTGCAGAGATGGCAACTTCACGAGACACATCCGCAAATTATTGTAATCTGGAATAGGAACGCTTCACTCCCGCACTCTTGTGCGCTCTTTGACGTCAAAACTGGCCCATTAGTGTGCATTACCGCCGTCGAGGTCCCCGGTGAGGGAAGAGGGTAAACATTTGAGTCCCCAAGGAGGAGTTGGATAATCCGATCTGGTCGCGGGCCGGGCAGGAGGCTTTATAAGCGAGTCACTTTTTGACATATGACCTCCACCCTCCCCGTCCGTCAGGCGTGGTGTTATGGTTACGAGGGAGCACGGCCTTGTCAATATCGTGCCTCGCTGATGCTTAATCTCGCTCGGCAAACTTGACGTTTGGTGGCGCTGGGGAGACTCGGCGGAAGCGTTTTGTGTGTGTGTGTGTGTGCGTGTGTGTGTGTGTGTCTGTGTGTGCGAATGAAGTGAGATGAACACGCCGGTGAATGATGAGGCTGTACGGCGGGCATGAATGGTGCGCTCTGTTTGTTCTGCGGCCACGATTTTGGCTTTATCGACAGTGTTTTGCCTCCTGTCACCTTTTTCCGGGCTCCTGATTGGCAATCATGCTCCTTGCGTTCAGGCTTACGGCGCCACCTGTTGCTTCGGGCACAATTTTGATGAGGAAATAAAATATATGTGGGAAGAAAATCAAATACAGTTAAAAAAAAAAAAAAAATCCTGAAGGCAAATAAAATCAAAGATATATTTTTAACCTTAGGAAGAAAAAAAATAATTATTTTTTTAATGTAAATAAATTACTAAATAATGTAGCATTTTTTTTTTTTTGGAATTGAGACCTTTAGTTAGAATATAAAATTAAAAGGTTTGAGCACTCGTCATGTCACTCGACTATGAGCATAGTCGTCTCAGTCGTATTTTAACATTTTTGGAAAAAAAAAATCCAATTGTTAGCAAGCACATGGGCACCCCGCGCCCTTCAAATTGCGATTGATTGACAGATACTTCATTCAAAGCAGGCACATCTCTGTCCACTGATGACCATAATTGCTTACAAGCGAGTCATTTAGCCTCTGTGGATGCTAATGTGGTGGGGCCTGCAAATTGATCCTTGAGGATCTCCGGACAAGAATGGAAATCGATGCCTTCGTAAACACCTTCCTTCTTATCTGTGAGCGCCTTGCTCAACGCTTCCAGGAAGGACCTCTTTAGTCGTTTGTGTCCTGAGGGGAACAAACAAGAAAGACGAACGGGATCGCACAGCAGCATTATGTTTTGAATGTGACATGAGAGATTTAGTGAGGCTTACACTGGGGTTTGCATGCTTTTCACAGCGGTCACCCCCCTTTTTAAGACTTTTGTGATTTTTTTTTCTTCTTCCCTCGCTCTTTTGTTGATAGGATTTGGAAATGTGTGTGAATGCAGTGACTGACTCCGAGCCAGGCCCCGCTACTCCCCCGCCAAGTGCCGGGGAGAAGTTAGTAGCGTTCCTGGAATGAAATGTTTTCATTGCTTGTCGTGTTCTGGCCCGGCTCGTGACGGTTTGATTGCGGCGCGGAAAGCTCGCTCATGTATTTTCCCCACCTTTTCAACGGTGAATTGCGCTTATGGACGCTTGTTTGTTTGCATGTGACATCATCAGCCGCGGAGACTCGTAAATGTATACATTGCTATGCGTTTGTGCTTAGTGTGTGTGTGTGTCACCATTTTGTTTGTTCAGGGGGTAATTTACTCACCCTTGAGTTGTGACACATAACATTCTTTACGTGTCCCCATGGTAACATGCTTTGCCAGCTCTAAACTTCTCGGAAATTGTCCTTGGCCGGTAAGAGAGAAATGATGTGTGGCTGCGTTAATGTTGGATGGCAGTGACTGGAAATGCACCAATGATAAATGATGAGTGTGACAAAGTGCAACTTTTGCACATACTAATGAAGCTCTGACACACTGAAACCCGGAAAACGTACAACACAATAAATAAACGACGCACCACTGCTCATAAAAGCGACTTTGGCACGTGGTTTTCAGTCCTGAGCATATACAATGCTCGTTGTTGTATTTTCATCCGGCATCCAAGTGACTCCGAGCAGAAACATAACTCTCAACTTCTGAATGAGCGTTTCAGCTTTTCCTCCGCTTCCTTTGTGTCCATCTGTTTTGCATTGTCACACGCAGTTCATCCAGCGGAGCTTTGCTTGTGCCGATCCGGGGGCCCCGGCGGCAAATCTGGCAAGGCGCGCTGACTTAGAATATGTTTGTCAGAGCCTTGGCGTGTCTCTGCGGGGCAAAAGCAACAGCGAGGCGATAGAGCCGGGTGGAAAATCAGGGCGCCAAAACACAGGCCGTGACCGCGTGTGAAGCGCCGAAAGTTGGGGTTGGGTGGGGGGGGCTGGGGGACAATTTGCATCCTCTCACTTGTAGCTGTGAAGAACGACAGGCGGGCGGGCTGGCGAGCTGGCTCGGAGAAAGCTTGTCTGATGTGTTTATGCCACGGGCTTTTTGAGGGCTGCGGTTGCACACACGGCGAGAACATCTGAAGGGAGACAAACAAGCGGGGAGGCGAGGCAAAAGGCCCAGTAATGGAGTGTAAACCTGCCTACGCTCACTTTAAACACCTCCCAGCACAGGGGGACGACTTTAGAGGAAATGTATAAATCAAAACTCTTGACTAATAAATCCATTTAATTAAAATGGGGCCTTTGCAATTCCAGGCCGACTGTCAGCTTCCTCCCCTGCTCTTGATTGGACGCTCACAGGCTTGGAAACACAACCGCAAAAGTAGCTCGTATGAAAAACAAACATGGATATAGAACAACATGCACAAGCGCATTTTCTTTATCTTCGCAGAGAGCAGCTCATCGCACCATCATATGGTGCAGTCTGGGCCTTCTTTTTCAAGTTTATACATGTTGCGGCGCCTCCTGATGGCCAAGGCGCATATAAATACTGTATCATCATAGCCATTGAATTGAAGCAAAACTTCCTCAAGTGGGCGTAAATTTTTTCACGCAGGCCCATGTTGGGTTCAATTTTAATGTCATCGAAAATAACTCCTCCTCCTTGCGTCCAGCTGTGCGTCTTTAAGACTCTTGCTCATCAATGCTCTGGATTATAAAGGGGGGGACGCCGTAATCCGGACGCTGCCATCCATCCATCCAGATGTGCTTGAATAAAACCGACCGGATTCACGTTTTTTTTTTTTCGTCCGATAGTTGGCAGCAGACTCTACGACGGAGCGAAATTTTGGCGCGATTGGGCGGTTGAAATTAAATGTTTCGTTCTAATCACCAGCACAAAGCCTTGTAAATTATTCAAGCGTTTTGTGGCTAAGCGCTTAATCCCGGAGGTCAAGTCTTCTCGGGAGCAGAGATTGGCAAATCAGATAGGTCAGTGGCACACGGATTCACATGGAGATGGATGGAAACGTGGCCCAAAAAAAAAAAAAAAAAAGATCGTTTGCGTTGAAAGAGTTAAAAACAGCCTCACTTGACACACATTGTCACCTTCTGAGTAGGGTGCGAGAGAGGTGAAGCGGGGGTAAAACAGGACAAAGTGCAGAAAAAAAACGGGAATAAAACGAGTTGCGTACAAACCTGTTGTCAAGTTCCGTTGACAGCCCCCCCCCCACCTGCCCCCCCTCCGCGTTCCCTCCAAACTTGTCTCGACTCGGTTTCACGGCGATACGATCCTGCGCACAGCTTCCCTCAGGCTTCCTGCGTGTGCGCGTGTGTGTGTGTGTGTGTGTGTGTGTGTGTGTGTGTGTGTCGGCACGTCTGCGCGCCCTCCCGTCGGACACGGCGGCGCATTGTGGCAAGCCGGCTCCAAAAGCGGTGATTCACGACGCCAGTAATCATCTGGCCGCCGTCCATGAAGGTGTTCCGAGCGTTCTCACGCACGGTCTCGGGGCACGGCCCGCTAACACGGAGCTGTGATTACTGTTATTATTTACACCGGGACTCGTTTTTGGATGTGACACTCTCTCGCTTTTATACTTTTATTACACACGCGCACCAGCGTACCCCCAACACCAAATCATCTCCCCTTTGTATCGGGCCAATGTTATTTTGGTCATTTTTCAACTAAAATACACACACAGGACACTTGATTAGTTTGATAATATCCAGTAGAAGAGCGTCTGTAAAAAGGAGCCGTATTTTAACCGCACTTGGAGGAATGATGGAGAGGGTATCGTAACACCAATGAGAGCGTCAGCGATAGATTACAGGGAATTATGCAAGAGCGGCTTTTGGAAAATATTCGCCGCCGCGGCAAGAATACGTTGAACCGGCGTTGTTTTTCGATGCTCCTGAGGGGCTGGAGTTTCATTTCCATTCCTGAATTGGTTTTAATAAGCGAAGGAGGGGCAAATATTACACAGATGGTGAGGAGATGGGCAGATGTCGGCTAAAATCCAGAGGGCCCTCCGGTTGGATCGTTGCCTGGCTGCGCTTCCTTTTTTTTTTTCTTTTTTTCAGAAACATTCCAGGAATGGAAAATTGGATGGATGGGAAGACTTTTTTTGTGCTTGTCTCTCTCTGATATTGTATGATCACTTTTCTGCGGACGAAAAACACGACGTCTGGGCGGGCTATGCCCATTCATGACCTGGACGAAGGAGAAGGAGGCGGACGTTTGATCGAGGGAACGTCATCAAATACCCATCCGTCCGATACATTTTTTTTTTTCTCGTCTTCATGATATCTGTGTTGGATTAGACCCTCCCCACTCCCTCGATCTAGAGTGGGTATCCGGTGACAGTAATCCACGCCGCTAATCCGCGTCTTGATGTAAACGCCCAAGGACGTTGCGGCTCCATCCTCGCCGCCGCCGCCGCCTTCCTCGCCTCCTCCTCCTTCTGCCGCTATCGTCTTCCTGAGAGGAATGAGCGCGCCATCTGTCCAGGGTGTTAGCTTAGCCCCGCGTCAGGCCTGATCGCTCAATCTTGATTTATTTCCGCCTGCGGATGGAAAGGTAGCTAGCGGGATTAGTTCAAGGGTGCGGCTTCGTTTCATTGTTGATGGGCGACGATAAACAGCTGAAGTTCGGGTTGTTGACGGTCCGGGTTGGCGCGTCGGCAGGACAAGTTTTCTCGCGGTTCAAGTTTGCCCAGGCTCGGAAAGCGGGTATCCCAGAGACATCCGGAGCGGATTTTATCGGAATAATTCGCTCACTTTACGAAGCACATTGTAATTGTCGTTGGGTTAAATTAGTGATGTCATCTCAGTTTTTATTCGATCACTGGTGGCATCGACACAGTCATCGTTTTTTTTTTTCCCGCACTCTCGTAATCCCATTCACTTGTTTTGTTCGAACTTTTAAGCAGTTTAACGAAGATGGTATCTTCATTTGCACGTCATCATCTATTTTTTTTTTTTTTTAATGCACTTAAAGACTTGGGTCTTTGAATAGAAATAGATCATTTTGTCAGGCGCTTGCTTTTGAACGCCACCGCCTCCTAATTGTCACGTCTCACCCCGGCCCTCCATTTTCCGCCATCATCTTCGCTAAAGCTAAAAGGAGCACCCTGACAGATCCATAAAAGATTGTCTGAATGCTCTGGGAAATTGGCCAATTTGATCTTTGATTTTTGCTAATGGTTACTCGTTTTTTTTTTTTTTTATTTTATTTTTTTTTTCGGGGTACAGGCAAGACTGAACCTCAAAGATCAATAGCAGAAAACGACTATTGATTACAATGGGGAACAATTTGGAAAAAACAAAACAAAATCTGTCCAGTTCGATTTAAATGCAGATTTCAGACCAAAAATTGGGACGCTGATTCCAAAATTGCAGTTGTTTTTTTTCCGAGCATGTCAAGTTTTTAATCACCACATTTAATCCTAATCAATTCCATTGATTAGCTGTATTAAAACAATCGTCGGAGCTGCTTGGACTCATCTACAGCTACGTGGCAACTTGTTTGTGCAGTCACCATCGAGACCATGCGGTGAGAGGCGCGTGCGGCTCCCACTAGGCCACTCCTATCAATACCGCCAAACGGAAAGATAGCTTAGTCGGAATTAAAGGGAGTGGTGTGATCGAGGAAAAACTGAGATCAGTTTTGGATTCGATCAAAACAGATGTCAGCCCTAACGTAACAAAAATGGCGTCCCGCAGCGTTATCATTTAGAGGGGCTCATCCCAATTCCGTCTCGTGGCCTCTCGAGAGATTTGGGACCAATAACTCGTTACCTCGCCAGGAAATATGTGACACAGGGAAGATCAGTCAGATTTTTATCTGTTGTGCAAAACGTAGGCCGCTGGGGTTTAAACGTGCTTGCCTGGATGCCGCACAGATGAATGCCAACTTGCCGCCGGGGAGACCTAACGAGCGGGTGACACTCACGAGGGAGCGCCGTGTTTACAGGAAGTGCTGTTATTTCCCATGGTAGTCCTCCCTGCCATGCAGAACAGAACGTCATTGTTCGGAGCGAGCCCGTGACATATCGATCGGGCTTATTTCTGCGAGCGCTAGCGTTTTCCGATCCCTAATTATCGCTCCTCTTTGTGCTCGTTTGTAAAAGACAAAGCGAAGGTGCCGCGCAAGTGTGCAGAGTCAGCGGGTGATGCGCCCCCGTTGGGAGGCGGCGGAGGAATCGCCAAAGGTTGCAAATTGCGCATTCTGAGAGGAGAATCAATTAGGCGAGAAGGTGGCACAAGGGGGGTCCGCGCCGAGCCATGTTGATGACCTCCTCTGAGACGAGCCCTTATCTTTCCCGCTTGATCCAAACATCGGTTCTTTTGGCGAAATTTGCGCCGCTTCTGACCGTTTTCTCGTTCCCTTCCAGGTGCATCATGCCCTTCATCTTGAAAGAGGCTTGATCCCGATCGGCCGACAGTAGCGGACTGTGCCTCCCACCGCCCTCCCTGCTCCTCGCGGTCCCCCGAGGCACAGCCATGACGTGCCACACCAGGACACTGACCTGCTTTTTTCTCTGCTGCTTCCTTTCCACGCTGGCGCCGCTCGCGACCTCCAAGACGGCGTTACGGGCGCCGCCGTCGCCCGGCTACGGTTCCCGAGTGATCACGGCGTCTCTCGAGGAGGAAGAGTACGCCTCGTTTCGCGCCGAGAACCCCGAATGGACATTCAACCACTTGGCGGTGGACTATCGCAACGGCAACGTTTACTTGGGAGCGGTCAATCGCATCTATAAACTGTCGCCGGGTTTGGAGGTGCAGGTGTCTCACGAGACCGGCCCGGACGAGGACAACCGCAAGTGCTACCCGCCGCGGATCGTGCAGCCTTGCGGCGAGCCGCTGACGCTCACCAACAACGTCAACAAGATGCTGCTGATGGACTACCGGGAAAACCGGCTGCTGGCGTGCGGCAGCCTCTACCAGGGCATCTGTAAATTGCTGCGCCTGGACGACCTCTTCAAGCTCGGGGAGCCCTTCCACAAAAAGGAACACTACCTGTCCGGGGTCAACGAGAGCGGCTCCGTGTTCGGCGTCATCGTTTCCTACGGCAACGCCTCGCCGGACATGCTGTTCGTGGCCACGGCGGTGGACGGCAAGCCGGAGTACTTCCCCACCATCTCCAGTCGCAAGTTGGCCAGAAATTCCGAGGAGGATGGGATGTTCGCTTACGTCTTCCACGATGAGTTTGTGGCCTCGATGATTAAGATCCCGTCGGACACCTTCACGGTGATACCGGACTTTGACATTTATTACATTTACGGCTTCGCCAGCGGGAGCTTTGTCTACTTCCTGACGCTGCAGCCCGAAATGGGAGGCGGACCCACCGCCGGCTCTTCCTCGGCGGGCCGAGAACAGGTGTACACCTCCAAGATCGTCCGCCTGTGTAAAGCGGACACGGCCTTCAACTCGTACGTGGAGGTGCCCGTCGGGTGCGTCAGCGGCAATGTGGAGTACCGACTTCTGGAGGCGGCCTACCTGTCCAAAGCCGGCGCCAATTTGGCGCGCTCGCTGGACGTCGCGCCGGACGACGACGTCTTGTTCGCCGTCTTCTCCAAGGGCCAGAAAAGGCGACCCCGGCAGGAGTCGCAGGAATCGGCCCTGTGCGTCTTCTCCCTGCGCAACATCAATGAGCGCATCAAGGACAGGCTGCAGTCGTGCTACAAGGGCGAGGGAACGCTCGACCTGGCCTGGCTCAAGGTCAAAGACATCCCCTGCAGCAGTGCGGTGAGTACCGATTTTGAGGCAACCGCGGCTAAGTGTCCCTTAAAACTCATTCACTCCCAAAGACGTTTTGAAACGTCTTTTCAGACTTGGGCCAGAATTGGCTGGTACTGAATGAGTTCAAGACACCGATGCAAACGCTCATCTCATTAACGGGCTGGGATGAAGTATCGCGAGGCGGAACGCTTTGATGAGCCGCGTTTTCTTGGGTGGGTTCGCGCTCCCGTCTCATTATGATGTGATGTTCACGATCCGCTCGGCCTTTTTTTTTTTTTTTTTTGAAACAATGCGGCCCGACGCTCAGCCACATTACCATAATTCCATTCCCTCTCCTGTAACAACACTTTACAAATTCAGTGATTCAGTTCATCATACGCACACACACACACACACACACACACACACACACACACACACACACACAAAGCAAGCAGGGTTAAATTGGGTGCCGAGTGTTTGGACTGCTTTCAAAAGCCCGAGCTTATTTCTTCTTCATCAAATCGAAAGAAAAAATACCCGACCCTGTCATACTAGTTTGCTTTCGAAGCAGTCGATGCTAAATTAACCCTTTCACGCACCAATAATGAGAACTAGATCAAAGGTCCTCGAAATGATTTTGGACGATCTTTAGCATCGACGACCGGGTGTACCTGCTGGTGAGAGCAGACGCCTGCGCTTTACGAAAAAGAAATGAAATCATATTTTTAACGACGTACCGTTCAACAAAAAGACGTCAAGTCATTCCACTTAAAGTTTACAAGTCAGGCGTAAAAAGGCTGAAATAAGATCGCTGCGCGATTTTACACAGTTCCACATTCAGCAGGAGGATCAAGAGCGATCGCCGCAGATCCGACGATTGTCAATAAATGTACCCTGTATGGCTCCCGGTCATGTTTCGGAATTTGTGGCCGTGACCTTCGCCGTCGACAATCTCGGGATTTGAGCCTTGTGCCATCACGGCGTAAATCTGGGAAAGAAGTCTTTGGCTCGGCGCACGTGCCGGACCGCCGTCGTCTGGCCGCTCGAGGGCGGGATAAATCACGCCCGGCAGCGGATGTGTCAGCAGGCAGAGGAAGTGCGCGTGTGTTAGGGCGCACGCCGGGGTTAGCGCCTCGGAACGGTGCCATTTCACCACGCGCCGCCGCGTGAATTAAACCCCGCCGAAGAAGTGGAGGCGGTGGGCGCCGCGGGGGATAAATCACACACCCGCTCATCCGCGATACCGCGCAAAATAAGAAGCTTCATGAAATTTTCATTCAATATTTCACAGCAAAAATATAATAGATGGAGATCACATTCGCTGCTGCGTCCCCATTCCGTGGGGGGGTTTCAATCAAACACGTGTAATGTTTATTGATGGTGTCCCTTGCCGTGTATTAATGCGGGTGTCAAAATAAGTCGACAAAATTAATATTTTTCATCTTGGAGGGTTTTTTTTTTCCGCTTGTTTGTTTGGACTCTGAGATTTTAGCTGATATCAGTCATCCGTATTATGATTTTTATTTTTTGATAGCATAAGTTTCCCCCCCCCATAAAAATCTCAATGACAATTTTGAGATTTACAACTTGTCATGTTTTGCATCCTTGCCACACTTCAATGAAATGTTGCCCCCTAACACAAAGCGTTGAAGTCACCGGTGTCTCAGTCTGAACATTTGCGTGCAAAAGAAGTCGCTAGATGAGACAAAAAGTGACGCATCTAGACTGGGTGGTAAAAAAATACATCTTTTTACAAAAGCGAGAACATTGTGATTTTGTCACATTTAATTGATTCAATTTGCACGGGCCAGCATCGAAGTGATCCAACACGATCCCGGGTTTGGTCCTCGGGCCAGCGGGCCGCCGGCGATGTCGGACCCCGCTTCTTGCAGCGGTATTCAGGCTTTGCCAGGTCTGCTTCCTGCTTTTCACACAAAGTCCAGTCGGAAGCCGAGATTGTTTGAAGGTTCGCAGCGACACAGATGGTAAAACGTCTTTGATCAAAGACTTTTTCCAATGACGAAGCCACATCAAATTAGTGCCAAGAACGAAAGCCCGGGAAATGCAAATCGACTTGTAAACACCGTCGCCCCAAACATTAAAAGCAATCTGCATAAAAAATGTTTTAACAGCCGTCCTGCCCATCAAGTCTTTAAAGCAACACCCGCGGCTCCTCAATAAATCCTCCCCAGCCATCTGACGGCGGCGGGGTACGTTTTTGATTAGTTCGCAGCCTCCCGATTAGATGGCGCGAGTCTATTAACGCCCGAATGTCCACAGTATTTACCTTGATTAAATTCCGACGCGGGGAGTTGATGGGTCAGTCGTAAAAAAAAAAAAAAATGTGGCATAGACCCCCCCAGATCACAGTACTCAGAAGATGAGAGCATTATGAAATGAATAGATGGCGTCGTTTCATCGCATTAACATTCCAGCGGTGACATGATGACCTCGAGGCAATCCCGATATTTCATCGCTAACACGTTAGCGTCACTTGATGGCGCTACGATTTCCGCTTGTTTGTTTGGACTCTGAGATTTTAGCTGATATCAGTCATCCGTATTATGATTTTTATTTTTTGATAGCATAAGTTTCCCCCCCCCATAAAAATCTCAATGACAATTTTGAGATTTACAACTTGTCATGTTTTGCATCCTTGCCACACTTCAATGAAATGTTGCCCCCTAACACAAAGCGTTGAAGTCACCGGTGTCTCAGTCTGAACATTTGCGTGCAAAAGAAGTCGCTAGATGAGACAAAAAGTGACGCATCTAGACTGGGTGGTAAAAAAATACATCTTTTTACAAAAGCGAGAACATTGTGATTTTGTCACATTTAATTGATTCAATTTGCACGGGCCAGCATCGAAGTGATCCAACACGATCCCGGGTTTGGTCCTCGGGCCAGCGGGCCGCCGGCGATGTCGGACCCCGCTTCTTGCAGCGGTATTCAGGCTTTGCCAGGTCTGCTTCCTGCTTTTCACACAAAGTCCAGTCGGAAGCCGAGATTGTTTGAAGGTTCGCAGCGACACAGATGGTAAAACGTCTTTGATCAAAGACTTTTTCCAATGACGAAGCCACATCAAATTAGTGCCAAGAACGAAAGCCCGGGAAATGCAAATCGACTTGTAAACACCGTCGCCCCAAACATTAAAAGCAATCTGCATAAAAAATGTTTTAACAGCCGTCCTGCCCATCAAGTCTTTAAAGCAACACCCGCGGCTCCTCAATAAATCCTCCCCAGCCATCTGACGGCGGCGGGGTACGTTTTTGATTAGTTCGCAGCCTCCCGATTAGATGGCGCGAGTCTATTAACGCCCGAATGTCCACAGTATTTACCTTGATTAAATTCCGACGCGGGGAGTTGATGGGTCAGTCGTAAAAAAAAAAAAAAATGTGGCATAGACCCCCCCAGATCACAGTACTCAGAAGATGAGAGCATTATGAAATGAATAGATGGCGTCGTTTCATCGCATTAACATTCCAGCGGTGACATGATGACCTCGAGGCAATCCCGATATTTCATCGCTAACACGTTAGCGTCACTTGATGGCGCTACGATTTCGAAAATCCAAGCATGCTACTTAACATACACTTACGCCATCCGTCATGTGCGACACTGCGACGAATTACATTACCGTGGTAATTTTTTTTTTTTTGGTCTTCAATTAGATGTGGGAAAAGCCCGCAGCCTCATTATTGAATATTCCCGACGGACAGATGGGGAGCGCGGTTTATCTCCAGGAGTCACCTCCTTTGGACAAATGCCATGTTTCATCGATGTCATTTATTTATTTATTTTTGTTATTGAGCAGACAGTTGCTTTTACAGGGAAAAAAAAAATCAGTCATACGATCTCAAATCGGACTTCACGTCGCGTTTCGATTCGGCCGATATTTAATCCAGCGACGAACGATGTTGCCTCGTCCAAACTGCCAGATTGTTCTAGAGGATTGCAGTGATTGGATAATGTTCGCAGCATGAAGTAATCCTCCATCGGATTAACAATGAAGCCATTCTTCCTCCCGTGATTATTCTTTATTATTATTTTTTTTTAAAGCAGTGCTGAGCTTTAGATCAGATAATGAAAAAGAAGCGCTTTGACTGACTTTGCGACCGCTTTCCGCCCCCCCCCCCCTCCCCCCCGGGGGAATAAATCAGCGCATCCTCCTTTGCTTTCCATAATCTGCTCAGAGAGCGAGGAAGCGGGAGATGATGGGAAAGGGCGACGCTCGCCTTCCAAAATGGCCGCCACGCTTGGCCGAGCCACATAATGCACAGTCGGAGTCTGCGGAAGGGCCCTCGTCCATAGATCATCGGCCAAGTGGCATGTGTGACCTATAAAAGCAGCCCCCTTGCGCTTTACACGTTCGCTCGGTCAGCAGAAAAAAAAAAAAAAAAAAAACAACAACAAAAGCGTGGGAGGTCAATAAATTTCCATCCACTCAAATTTTGAATTTTGCCGACTGGGGCTTGGACGATAGACTTGCCGTTTTTGTCTGATGAGTCAGTCTCGGCCACATCCACAGGAAGTGAAAGGCAAGTTCATTCATTAAGACCATCCAGACTGCCCCCCCCCCCCCCCCCCCCCCCCCCTCGATCCCACTCCATATCCATCCATCCACATATCCGCTATCCGGCTCGCTGGCCGATCCGGCCGGCTCGCTAATTAAATCTCCATACATGATACCACTTGCTAAAGGTCAGTATTCATCACAATATCATTATTTTGCGATTAAGCAAACGCTGTCTGGCCGGCCGGGCCCCATCCGAGGAACGTTAGCGCGCGTGCCTTATTTCGGGGATTCGGGAACGCGCGCCGCGAAATAGGAAGGAAAATATCACACGTTGCCGCGCAGCTTTCATTTTTTTTTTTCGCGGCCCGATTCTCAGCGCTGTTTATTCTGAATTAGCACCCTGTCGCTGCCCCCTTTGAAACACTGAATGGACACGATTGGGGGGGGGGAAAAAAAGCAGAATCACCGCCCCCCCACTCCCTAAATTTCAGCCTTTGCGATTTGAAAAGTGCTTTGTACCACATGACAATGTCGGCGATGACTTCGCCAAATTCTCCAGCCTTCGTATTATGGATGTATCATATAATTACAATGAGCGCGGCTAATCCTTTTTAGTCGGGACATAGTTCCGCCGATCATCCTGACAGGTCAGCAATTTGCCGTCGACGAATGCTGTATTATGCAATTATATACTTTAACAGGCGCTACTTTTTTTTTTTTCGATTGGGGGTGGGAACGGGCGCGCAACCGGCTCGGCTTGCTATTAATGTGGAATCATCACATTAGAGCACGGTCGTCATCCAAATTTGTAGGGGGGGTGGGGGGGGCAGTACAAGAAAATGGACTCTTCGGAGCCCGTAAGAGCGGAGAGGCGACATGAAATGAAATTTCTTTCGCGGTTGAATATGTGTCATTAACTCTGTGAACCGGCAGCCAACGGAACGGGGGCCCTTCGTCACCGCGCCAGCCCCAGATTAGGCTATACATCAGAGAGCGTTGGAGAGCGGATCTCTTTCAGTCACCGCTAATCGCTTTTTCGCATGGGCCCTTTCTCTTTCTCGCAGCTCGGCGTGTGTGTATATATAAATATATATATCTGCTGATTTCCCCCCACCCCCACGCCGCCCCCCATCCCTCCCGCCCCTCGCCCATGCGGTCCAGGATCTCGCTCGCTTTGTGCGTGGCGCTGGCAGGCGCACACAAGCCGAAAGATGGATACGGCCCGCGAGTGACCTGATTCTGCCTCGGCTTCTGGCCACGGTCCAAAAATAGGAAACTACGCTCTGGCGTCGCCGCCTCTTGTGTGTCACGAGTGACTCGGCTTTGCCTTTGCTTGTTCTTGGGGCTCGTTCCTGGCAGTCTGAATTGAATTCAGGTTCCGTTTTTGATCGGTCCATTCATCAAGTCGATCAAACTGCCAAGCTAGTTTTGGGGGGTTTTAGCCATTCATTCATCTGTTCATGTTTTAAGCTACCAAAAGTATTTTGGGGGGTTCCAGGTTCCACCCTGAGTCTGATTCAGCTCTCGTTCCATCCGACCATCCCTCCGTCCACAACCTACAATCAGGGGTGTCAAACTCATTTTTGTCGCGGGCCGCTTTTGAGTTACGTCTTCCCTCGGAGTGAAACCACAAAAATGTTTCGGCGCATTATTACTCGTAAGGGTAACAAACTTCTTGATAAACGTCATTTATGATAATTTGACGGTTAATTTTTTGCAAGGATCATGCAAGTTGACACACGGGATTTTCTTTCAGTGGGCCACGTAAAATGATGTGGCGGGCCGGATTTGGTGCCCGGGCCTTGAGTTTGACACCTGTGACCTACATCAACCTACCTGCCTAATTTTGGGGGATTTCGGTTTTATCCTTGATCCAACGTATCTCTATTTTCAGCCATCCACCCATCTGTCCGTTAAGTCAATCAACCAAGCACAAAAGAGGGCGGGGCTACGGAACGGTGATCAAACAAACGGGCCGCGTAGTAACAATATGTGAGTTTGACGTATTGGTTGGCGCAATGCATCCGTCTTCAGGGAGTGATCCGTCACGGGCGGGCAAGAAATGTTACTTGATCATTTCCATAACACATCCGTGTTTTTCAAAGGCGCCAGTCACATCAGCATCTTATTAGCGCCGCCTAGATATTATTTGCCATTGTGACCCGGGGCGTCTGTAGCGCCGCGAGTACCAATGTCATGTTCCGGCGGCGGCGGCGACGGCGGCATAATGAAAACGTGTCTGCTTCCTGACAGACAGAAAAGTATATTTCACCAGATTGCAGCAGGCGCGCTCACGAAAACGCACTCGACGAGATGGCAGATGTGATTGGCAAGCGGCTGGAGTAATACGGCGAATAACACGGTGCGCGAGGTTGGGCGGGGGGGAGTGATGAAAACGCACGTTTAGCACCCGCGCGCACACAAATGTGCGCCGACACCGATAATGTCAAGTGATTTATTTTGGATTATCAAAAGCACTTTTGCAGGCTCGGAATCAGATAATTGCTCTTGACAGCAGTGTCTGCGTTTTTTTATTTTTTTGTTATTCTCTGAGGAAGCATTTTAATAATGAAGGCGGCGACAAAGTTTTCTCTCTGCTCGAGCCGGTTTGCCTTTAAATGGCTCGCAGGAGAGTCGCGAGTTTTGTACCGAATCGCCTTGGCGTTGTTCGCTGTCTGTGGCAATCGTCAATTTTGATCGGCGGTTAGTGATGATCATCTTGTTGTGTTTTTTTTTTTTATTAGTCTTTCGGCATGGAAAAAAAAACAGTCGAGTCCATTGCAGTGGACAACTGTGACATCAACACTGATTGACGTAAGCGAAAACAACATCGTAACCGCTGTCCCCGAAAGGGTTAATCCAGCAGCATCCCGACCTTTGACCCCTTTCCCGCTTTGCGTTTCAAGCTAATGAACACTTTGTTTTTTTTTGTTTGTTTTTTTTTTAGTCAGGGCAATAATTAATGTTTGTCCTTCCGAGTGCCAAGTTCTATTCCGGATAATGGACTTTGTGCGATCACCGGACCATAACTCAAGCCTTCCTTCTATCTCGACTTTTTGGAATGAATGCAAAAGGTGTCATCACCTGCCGAGTCTTCCCCGGCATTCAATCACACGGCGAAGCTATTCGTCACACCGTGCCGCTCGCCTCCTCAAAAAAAAAAAAAAAGTGTTTTCAAATCCGACCCCGCACCCAAGCGGAATAATGACCTGTCCCCAACGCCATTATTCTCTTATCAAAGCCCATACGTCATTCTTCCCCACCCAGAGTCGCGACTGACATCAATATTGTCTGGCGGGCAGGGCGGACCGCCGCACGTGAAACGAGAAATGGGCCTCGGACCGGTTTTTGCCATCGCCGAGATGGCTGCTGGGAGTACATCAACGGGTTGCGGGGATTGGCTTGAAAGCGTCACGATGCTTTTGCCTCGGTTGCCATTTTGAAATCTGACGGCGGGAAATCGCGCCCGACAGCTCGGCCTCGGGCACGATTACGGCCAGACGGCGGTCTTCGTGGATCTCATCCCCCTCGCGCTCGTTTTTCATACGGGGGGGGTGGGGGTCTCCGGGACTTGGAATGGGAATGTGCCACATGCTGCTTCACCATGCGAATATGATCTGATCACATGTCACGGTAACTATTTAAAAAAGGATGTCAATCATTTTCATCGCTGTCGATCTCGCCCCCTCCCCCCTGCAGCTCCTGACCATCGACGACGACTTCTGCGGCCTGGACATGAACGCGCCGCTCGGCGTTTCGGAGATGGTGCGCGGCAAGCCGCTCTTCTCCGACGCCAGCGACAAGATGACCTCCGTCGTGGCCTACGTCTACAAGAACCACTCGCTGGTCTTCGTGGGCACCAAGAGCGGCCGCGTCAAGAAGGTAAGCTGCGGAATCGCCGCGTAAAGGTTCTAAAAATCGGGTGCGCCGCGAGGAAGGAGCGTTGTCGTGAGGTAGATTGACTTTCGGGCAAAGTCGCTGAGTCGGCTGTATTTGCGCGGGGGCGTGCGTGTGCATGCGTGCGATGAATTTGAGTTGTGAGGAAGCGGAGGTGTGATCAGGAGAGCCCCCGAGGGGGGGATTTGATTCCTGCAGCCAAACCTATCTGGTGTCTCTCTACATCCTCCTTGTCCATTACGCACCCACACACACACACACACACACACACACACACACACACACACACACACACACACACACACACACACACGCTTCCTGTGCATCCTCTGCATCATAACTCTACTTTTTCTCCACTTTTGGACTTCAATCCCAATTTCCCCCCCACCCCATGGGAGGGGGGGGAGGGGCGGAAATGGGAGCCCACGTCAGCATGTTGCAGAAGTTGCTCGACAGCACACATCAGCATGTTGCAAAAAACCGATTGGACTTCTTATCTGTTTCTTCAGGCGCATTTGAGTTCAAATGCAGTTTCTTGACTTTGTATCCACGGAACTAAGGAAGGAATTTGACGGTCCTTGAAAAGCAAACTGGGGGCTTTTTGTACCATGTCGGTGGACCACGCCGCACAACTGTACGACAGCCCCCTGGCCAAACATGATTTGTTAAGCGAAACATGACTGGGATAAGCCAGATTTGCGCCTGTTGCGGCTTGTGCCATGGGCGGCAACCCCCCATGACCTCTCGGCCCTTCCCGGGGCTAACGGGATGACGCTCCGCTTCAAGGTTGTGATTGGCGGCCGCTAGCTTGCGTAACCTCTTGATGTACGGCCGCGGCTGTGACTAACTCCGGGCCGGCGAGCCTCGCGGACCCCCGCGAGAAAACTCGTCTTACAAGCGAGGGAAGGTTGAGCTGGAGGACAGACGCCCGTGTCTTGAAGATTTGCGGCGACGAGAAGTGAACCGGAGAAATACGAGCGAGCGCTGCCAAAACACACACACACACACACACACACACACACACACACACACACACACACACGGTGATTTTGACACTGTTTGTTATGCTTGATTACCGGCCCCTTCCTGTGTTTGTTTTGCTGCTTTTATTGCGCGCGCGGGGCCCCCGAGCGGCTCGGGCCGACGCTCTTTCTCGTAATAACCATCGCGCTGCGGAGCAACTATGTAATCATATTTTATACCTGCTGCTCACGTATGATAATGAGCGGCAAATTTAGTGTCCGCGGGTAATGAAAGCGTCGGCGGCTGTGAACGCTGCCTCGCTTAGAAATACGGTCGGCCCGCAGTTACGCTTTTCGCCGGCCACGCGTTTTTTTTTTTTTCTTTTTCTGGGACGCTAATTGTCAATTTGATGTGAAATTTGGTTGTTTGGCCCGTTCCCGTCAGCTCGCGCCCATACGGCGGACATGTGGAACAGACGGTGATCGATATGCCGCCCGTCGCAAGCGCACGCAGCTCCATTATGAGCCAGTGGATGCCCTCGCACGCGCGCCGGGCTCCTCCCCGGTCGTTAAAGTGTATACCATTAGATGACATCACGGGCAATAAAAGACAACAGCATAACAATAAAAGGTCCGAGTCTGGGTCCACCTCCTTTATCAGTGACTTTATAAGCCCCCCACCCACCCCACCCCAGCTTCCCCCTCCTGAGTAATGGATGTTGATTTATATACACTCGCCCACTGCAACTTGTTCCATCAATAAGGCCCCCTCCCCTCCCCCCCGGCCACCCTGCCACTTTCCCTCGGTCATTTTTTTTTTTTGGGGGGTGGGGGGCTTTTAACTGTTATTTATGGTGCTGTGAACGACACATCAGTCTGAATAAAAATAAGCGCGACGGTAAAATAGAGTGGCTGGACCTTAATGGATCCAGCTCTCTTTGATGACATCATGGGGGGGTTGGGGGGGGGCGTTAGCGAATTAAATTCGGTGCCGCTCGTGAGATGTTTCTGTTTGACAAGTTGGAAGAATATTTTTGCTCGGCCCGCCATTGTGACATGATAATCATAATAATCTCGACAAAAAAGGTCAAAGGTGAAGAGAAAGCTCATTTTTGAAGAGAAGCGCTAATGTTGTCTTACGTCAACCGGATCCGAGCCTTTTCGCCTGATTGGTAACATCACCCGGTGTACATCCTTGTCAGGTGTTAATGGCGTTTTTGTCATAAATCCAACCCCCACCCCCCACCCTCAAAAATCAAATGCTTTCCAGCCAAATAGCACTAATAAATAAACACGAGGCTTTGCCAAGGTTGGATCGATGCGGGTCGCACAATTGGATTCAATCCATTGTGGATTTAATGATCATCTTCATGCAAAAAAAAAAAAAAAGAAAGAAAGACGTCATCTTAGGAATGACTCACTTTTTAAAATAACTTAGAAATCACTTGTGATTTGCCGTTTAGTTGATGGCAGGAGAGAAAGACGTGAGAGAAAATTCCGGAAAAGCTCAGTTCCCGAATCGAAAGTAGCGTTTCGGGAGTTACGCTTTGAAGAAGCCGGCGCCAACGTTTCCTCGCTTTTTTTTTTTTTTTTTTTGCTTTCATGGTCGACCAACTTTAAATTGGTTCCCACTCGAAAAGGAGACACTTGATCCAAACTCATTCCGACGCCCGCGTACAAGAGGGACCCTCAGAAATCGTCTCACCTGAGTCTTTCCATGCATCTCCTGATTGAAACGGTAAACTATACGATATGCTTGAGCCCGTGCTTCCTTTTAAATTTCCCACCCCGTCTTTCTCGGTCGCTCCGCGGCCGAGCGGGATTGCCGTAAGAGTTCTTTTGAAGGCCGCCTCCTGCCATATGGCGTCCGTCGGCTTCGACCCCGAGATGGAGATGAAAGGCTCCCTTGTTGGGGGTCCGGTTGAAAGCCGTCGCTCACAGGTCAGTGGTCAAGGGGAAATCCCCTAACCCCGCCTCACCCCGCAGGAGTCGGGTTAGCGTATGGACATTTGCTCATTAGCATGGATTGAAACCAGAGCGGAGACCGAAGGCCGCCCGCCGAGGTGGTAATGCAGCTCCCCCTCTGCATCTCCCGACGGTGGGGGACGTCATTGGCGCCGGACGCAATGAAGCTAGCTAACCTTGAACCTGACACGAGCGCGGCGCGGCGTGCGGAGGATGTCGGCTCGGACAAGCACCAAACAAGCCCCGCCGGAGGCTAAAGCTAACCTTGAACCTGACACGAGCGCAGCGTGCGGAGGATGTCGACTCGGACAAGCACCAAACAAGCCCCGCCGGAGGCTACGCGTGCAAAGTCGGAAGGCCGAATCTTTCATTTGTCAGCCTCGGGTCCAACGCTGAGCACCGACCG